CCAACCATTTAGCACGCGAAAATAATATCTGATCAAAAATAAAAGAAAAAAATCCAAGATTTTATCAAGAAATGGGATTCTGAGTCCAAGAAAATAGTGTGCACACAATTGGATAGAACAAAAAGTGATGTAAGAAAATAACATAATGATGTATAATAAACATTTCAAGGAAACAATAGAAAAAACCATTTAGAACAAGAAAATAGTATCTGAACAAAAATGAAAGGAAAAATGTCCAAGTTTTTGTCAAGAACAGGATTCCAATCCAAGGGGAAGAAAAATGTATTCACTATCTATCAGATATAACATAAAAATAATGTAAGAGCATAACATATAGACACATAAGTATGCATGATGAACATTTAGAGGAAACAATAAAAACCATTTAGCACAAGAAGATAACATCAGAAGGAAAATAAATAAATAAATAATATGTATGTATTTTTCAAGAATGGGATAAAATTGTACACTTTCAGATAGAACAAAAAATGATGTAAGAGAAAAAACTTAAACAATAAACATACTAATTTATAATAAACATTTCAATAAAAGAATAAAAAATCATTTAACACAAGAACACAATATCCGAATAAAAATAAAAATAACAATAGATTTCAACAGGAATAGAACTCAAATCCAAGATAAAAAATGTACACCATCAGAGAGAACAAAAAATGATATAAAAGAATAGCATAAGAGGAAACAATAAAAACCATTTATCACAAGAACACAATATCAGAATAAAAATAAAATAGAATTAATTAAGTATCTGTCAAAAATGAGATCTATGAAAGTGATGTTTGTGGCAATAATCTGCACTCGTTTCAAACAAAGGTTTCTGATGATAATATATGACATGAGCAGATACACTGATTTCGACTAGTTTATAGTCGGAAAGCAACAGGAAAGGATTTGACTTGCGGCTCGTCGTCGTCGTCGTTGTGTGGATTACGATCTCTCCAGCGACGGATCTCAATATGCTAGTTCATGGAGGTCGTAAGCTTTCTGAGGTCAAATGGAAGGCATGGCATGTGGATCCCAAGAGTTCCGCCCCCAGATGTTTCTGCGGATAATATAAATAAGTTTGAGCTTGGTGGTCGGATTGCCGCTCTACGTGTTTCTGCTGTCTATTGCATCACCAGAGGAGGAAGAAGATGAGTGGGTACATCACCATGGAGTCATTCTCTAGCCAAATGTTCTTTCTTCTTCTTCTTCTTCTTCTTGAAATAATGATATGGTGATCGAAGGTGTATTAGTTCATGTGGTTCACTGTGTTGAATATGGTACACGATAGTACTCCGTTCCTTTTCTTTCTCGTGCATGCTCATGGTAGAGAACAAGTTACTAAGAGAGAGAGAGAGAGAGAGAGAGAGGAAATGCCTGCAGAAATCTACTACGATGTACTTATACTAATTAATGTGATATTTCATTAGTAGGGAGAGAAGAATTTAGAAACCAAAAGAAAATGTAAAGATTAATAATCAAAAAATATATTAACGTAATCCGATAATTCACATCTACAAAATAAATAAATAAATAAATAAATTCTTTACTATATGAGAAAAATTATAATTCACTTAAATTATCTTAATTCAAGCATGACTCCTCTTGTACATATTCTCATATAAGTCTAAATAAATATATTCTCTTAATTCTCTCTACATCTACTATAAAGATCCTCCCAGCAACACCTCTCTTTCACTATAATTTTAAGACTCAGGTTATATTTATGGAAATAAATCCTAATTTTCTAAGGAGTTTATGTTCTGAATAAGATTAGGACTCATAGAAATACTTACCGAACGTCGATTATTCATAAAAACAACTCCTACCGATATTGATTTATGTTCTCATCTCCCTAATGAATGCTCAAAGTTTCAAAAGCAGTGTTGATTCATGTTTATTCTTCCCTAGTTAATATAAAGCCCTTTAGCTAAATAATGCTCCATATCGGTGTACTACAGCAGTTTAGTTTTGCCACTATTACGAAGCTACATGTAGTGATCCATAGATAAGATGTTCATATTAGAAATCGATATCGATCGTCACGACTCTTCCCATCTGATGATTGTGGCACAAAGCAGAACCCGATGTGTTCTTCGAATCCACAATTCAGAGAATCATTATCATAGGAGGAAATGAGCACAGACGAACGAGCAATAAAGCTGAGCGAACACAAAGAAACCAACGGTGAGAGGAAAACATACAAACACGGAGACCACAACACGAACACGCCATGATTAATCCCAAATCATCACCACAGCTATCACTCCAACCCCTGCGAGCACCGCCAAGAACTTGAAGAAGGGAGTGTCCAAGGAACTTGGCTTGTACGGCTTGAATCCCTTGGCTATGAGGTGGTTGACGGCCACGTAGATGAACACGCCGCAGGCGAGACCCATGGAGATGCAGTATATCCAGTCCGCCGTTGATCCCTCCGTCGTGGCGTCGATGGCGATCCCGATGCCGACTCCCACGGGGCTTGATATGGCGAAGGCCAGCGAGTAGGCCACCGTCGTCAGGAACGGCCTCTTGGGTAACATCCTCAGCAGTGCAATTCCCATGGCGATAGCGGCGAAGATCTTATGCAGACTGATCGTCCACAGGTTCCTCCATGCGCTGCCCTTTGTGTCTGAAGAAGAAGATGCAGCACAGCATTAGACGTCAGTGGGTGAATGGAGTTGCCATGTTGCGGGAGGAGGTGCCACCAACCTGAGACTCCGATGGCTATCCCCTCGAACACAGAGTGGAAACAAAGCGCGAGGATGAGGAGCAGTGTGTCTCCGAAGGATGTGGTCCTGAGGAAAGACGGATGGAGATGGGGGTCGTCCTCGTTCCTGTGGCCGTCAGAGTCCCCCCCTCTCTCAGCCTCCACTTTCGCCTCCTTCGTCCCGCCCCGAGTCAACGTGACGATGATGCAGTCGCCGAGCATGGTGAGCAGGTAGCCGGCGGAGGCGAGCATGAAGGCGAAAGGGTAGGGGTTGGACGTGCGGTCCATGAAGGTGCTGCTGGCGTCGGCCAGGAAGTGCATGAGGGAGGTGCCCAAGAAGACGCCTCCGGCGAACTGGGTCCCCATCAGCAGGAAGCTCTCGTTCCACCGGAAGAAGTAGGGCGACACACCGCCGGCGAAGGTGCTGACAAGGAGGATCACGAGGCACCATATCTTGACGGCGACCAAGCCCTTAGCGCGCAGGTTGACCGGCTGATCACCGGAGTCGGTGTCGTCGCCCCCGCCATGGCCGTAGACCTGGGAAGACAGCAAGGGGAGGAGAAGCGCTAGCAGGATTGCCCACCGAGGTCCAGCTTTCACGGTGGTCGACGCCATGACAGATTGCTGCCTTGCTCGCATAGCAGATTGGCTCTGTGTTGGCTTACTCATATGAGGTATGTGGAGGCGTACATGATTCCAACTCATGCATTTTATCATCGTTCGAATTGTTCTAACTTGGAGTTGTGTAGTACGCTTTTGACTTTGAGATGTTGTACTGCACATTCCTGTTCCTGTTGTGAGGTTTGAAGACATGTATAATACTATATACATGTATGGATAGCCTTCCTCTTTGTTACACCTTCTCGATGTAGCCAAGATTACAGCATCATCCTTCCATGCTTCTGCTTATATTAGGTATATGTGGAGGAGCTTATACTTGTATTCGGTATATGTGGAGGAGAACATAAATTTGTCTTATGTTCAAGAAACAATTACTATGACATAGGTACTAAATTTATCCCCCGATTTAATAACATAAAAGAAAATACATACTATTAACTCCCCAATTGAGTACCACGTTATATAAGTGAAAACAAATATTAAAATAGATTTATATAAGGGTCTACTACTATTAACTTCAACTCAGAATATTATACTCTTATCATAATTAAGCTAAACGGAAGCGCTAAATGATATATTTACATATTAGATAAAGATTTTTTGAATAACATCTAAAGATACATAATCTTAATCATAATATATTATTATTTGATTTCGATTCTGATATTAATTTTTTTATATAATAATAACATAATCATAATTTTTATGCTTACATCAATTTAATGGCCTCGCCATTAACGATTACAATGTTAAAAGTAATATTTGTTTTTAGCTACAATAAATTTCAAAATTCTTAGGCAAAGGAGTAATCAAATAACAACGCATGTTTGGTGTAAATTTAGAGAAGATAAGGTAATATGTTTCGAAGCTTTGTTTTTTTTGTTTTTAAATTTAACTTTGGTGGAGTACCGAGATTCCAAATTGCCTCTTAACTGAGTCATCTATCTTCTCTATCCTTAATCGACATAAGTATTCTGTGTCATCAATTAATATGCATTTTTTGCCATATACATCATGTATGAAGGAATGAGTGTCCGTTGGATTTTAAGGGATTATGAATGTTTAACATCTTAGCTACCAAGATAGGATGGAACAATTGATTCAAGACATGAATTTTTCATTAATTATCTTCTAAGAACTCGGTCACCTGTTGAAAGTTTCTTATTTTTAGAACATTAATTAATGTAAGTAGGCCATGCATAAACAGGTATATTGCTAACCCAATCAGTGTTCATTTCATATACTAGTATTATTAATCTAGAATATTACAGAATGACTCATGGTCCTAACATCTCTAAAGGTTTTGTCGTCGTCCTTCTTAGGGTTAAAACAACTATACTGGCATTATTATTATTCTAGAAACCATATAAAGAAGTATCATTATTCAGCAATTTTGGCATTGTTGGTGTTCTGAAAAGCATGAATATTCTTAGTTCCTAAACCACCCAAACTCTAATCAATGAGGTTCTACTAAGCATTTTGTTAGCCATGCTAGAAGTGAGCAAAGTTTTAGTAGGAATAATATTAATGATCGAATTGATTAAAATAGATTTTTCAGCCCGTGAAACATAACCACTATACCATCCTTGGATCTTTTGGGTGATTTTATTAATTATCATTTATTCACAACTATTTTATAAACTATTCGGGACATAAAACAACAAGATATTTCAAGGGACATCCACCTCTTGAATACATAAAAAGTTTTAGATTTATGCTTAGCGGTGGGATCACAACATCTAAACAAAATATAATAGACTTCTGGATGTTAATCTTGAGACTAGTACAAAGATTTCTAAAGCCTTAACAATGTTTTTATAAAAAAAATGTATTGGTTCTAATTGAAATATCGTATCATATCGATGTTCCGAGCTTGGCTTGATACAGTACGGTATCGTATATTGAGCGGTATGTCAAGGCGTACTGAACTGTACACCTAATTTAGGGGTAAAATCCTTCAAAAATACAGAAAAAAAAAGTTAAAGATAGAATTTTTAAGATAGAAATAAATATAGTAATAGTATAAATTTAGCAAAATCAATATAAATTATGTAAGAATAGTATTATGTATCTTTTTCGGCTTCGAGAAATTGTCTTATGTAAGGTTCATATTTCAGTCCGTCATGGATTGTCCCTATGTAAATATTGAAATATATATAGAAAAATTACTTAAATTGTTAGATTATTTTATTATAATATAAACTCTAAAATTCAAATAAATTAAATAATCACATATGTAAATATACCTGATTGCTGATTTTACCACCAAAACAAACGACGAGCCTCCATGGATGGTGGATCGGGTTCCTCGATCATATACATCTACATATCAATATAATAAGTTTATTGGACTCAATCATGAAATTGATCTCACGACATAGTATATTAAGACATCATATGCCATTGATGCATCAATGTGGTAATGATCGTAGGCTCATCGTCATAAATCACATTTGTCTGAGGTAGCTCCTAAGGCATATATTGGTGAATGTTAGAGCTTCTACTTTTGTTATTATCTGCTGCTCTATATCATAATATTGCTCAAAGAAGGATGACCAACTATCATCATACTATCATTGCCAATATGATTCTCCATAATACGATGGTTGTGAATACGATGAGCTTCTTTCTGTATCTACATCATATAGGCTCTGTCGTATCTACTCAAATTCATCCGCTGTCTTCCCCTTTCCCTTCCGCACATAAACTTAACTAGCACCTTGCCGAGTTTCATTATTTGAACTTGGGTGGCATATGTAAAATAATGCTCTTTGGTCCATGCACCACCCTAAAGTTGTGTAGACCAGACTAACGACTGCTCGACATCATCACCATCATCCGTCGAGGCACTAGTATCCGTGTTACTATCATATCTATGGACCGAGCGAGTTGTTAAATGTGATTGTGAAGGTGTCTCATCGTCCAACTTGATTCTTTCTAACGATGCGACTAATGCTATTGCCTTCCCCTTTGTCTCTACACGTTGGGCGGATGACTGTGACCGTTGGGTGTCTGTAGTTCCTCAAAAAGTTTGACTCGATGTTGTTTAACTTCTGCCACGTTGTGATTGAGGGAGATTTTCTACCTGTTGGAGTCGTGCTTCTTCTTCTTCTATTGCTTCGGTGATAAAACGCGAAGGACGATGAGGATCTCCTACCTCATCAAGTAGAGAATCTTCTTAGTTCTTTGTTGCTTCAACCCAATCTAACATCAACTCTGAATCTTCATTGTAGAATTAGAGATCGATGGGATTAATATCTGATTCTTCTGGCTTCTTATCCATCTCAGCACATTGCAATCTTAGTCGCATGTTACAATAGACATATATGAGTTTTTCTAATCGTCTGTACGAGAGTTTGTTGTGGACTTTTGTATGAATCAGTGCAAACGTTGACCAATTACGTTCGCAACCACTAGATGTTGTCATCTGTGAAAGTACTGTTGAATCTCGGATTTTGATGATGAAACTAATTGATTGTGTTTAGATGTTTAACTGCATTTTGAGTGATGCAGGTCTACTCGATCAGGATTAGACAGTTAACGCAGGAAGAATTGACGTTGCGCCGGAGGAGATCACGTTAGGATATTGGATGGCAGAAGGCTTCGGACGTCGGGCATCGGGCCAAGAGCAGAATTGCGCCAAGGATATCGGCGTTGCGGAGGTCAACCGCCGATTGGGCAACAAGCCGCAAGAGAGGAAGATGCGTCGAAGAATCGGACGAAGCGCCAACCAATGACGTGCCGGGCAACAGAATGTCAATTCCCTTTATAATAATTGTCTAGATCGGAGTAGAGTTTTTGCTTGTGTGTGCAGGATTAACTACGATAACGACGAAGACATAAAGCAAAACAAAGTGTCGGAGTCAAGCACGAACGATTCATTGCGAGTTCGAGAGTTCGACGGAAGTCCGAAGGTTCGTCGGGAATGCTGCCGGAACTAGCCAAGAATGAGTAGGGAGCTTGCCGAAGGGTTTTTCAGAAGCTCGCCGGAAGGTTCGTTGGAAGTTTGCGGAGCTCGTCGAGAAAGATCGGAGCTTGCCGAAGAAGCTCATCGGAACTCGCCAAGATCAAATCGTGAAGTCTAGGAGCTTGCCGGGAGTCCGCATAATGGTTTCCGAGAGTTTATCGGAAGACCGCCGGAAGTTTGTCGGAAGCTCGCTAGAAGAAGTCTTGACTTACGGACTTTGTAATAGCTTAGAAAATATCTTTAAATTCGTAGTTAGCATGTTAATTAGGATTAGGATTAGGTATTAATCCTATAACCCAAGTATGGGCTAATTGGGCCTGAGTTCGGACTAGTTTGGGCCAAGTTTGGAGCCCAACCAGTGAGCTGAATTGGCCTAGGCGGTGGCACCGCCTAGGCTGGGCGGTGGCACCGCCCAGCACCCGAGAGCTGGGTGGTGACACCTTCTGGGCTGGGCGGTGGCACCGCTTGGCTGGGTGGTGGCACTGCCAGCATCGGGAACATAAGAGAATTCAAATTTTTGGAGCCCAAATTTGAATCCTCTTGAGGACTATAAATACCCCTCAAGTCTCAGCTGAGAACACAACTTTTGAGCAGCAAGTGATTGAGAGAAAAGTCTTAGAAGAGTCTTTGCCTTTCTTGTTTTCAATTTGCTAGTGTTCACCTCCTTCTTTCTTGCTGAAAATCTGTAAGAGAGTGAACCGCTTGTAAAAGTTGTAAGAGGGGTATTTACCCTTCCCTTTCAAGGGATTTGCTAGTGGAAGGTGAGAGCCTCATCGAAGAGGGGCCTCGCAAGTGGATGTAGGTCACTTGACCGAACCACTTTAAAAACGGCGTAATCTCTGGTTTGCATTTCATTACTACTATTTACATTACTGCAAACCCTCTTACTTGCTTTATTTCCTCATTACATTTACTGCACAACTTTACGAATACGCTTTCAAGTTAAGCACTTCCGATTCCGATTTTTATCGTACGAAAGATTTGTCGAAACCAACGTTTTAAG